ATCCGCCCGCTCGCGCGTTCGCACGCTAACACGTGTGTACGAACGAGAGAACCCTGGAAAAGCGACCCCCGACCGCCGAAAGAGAACTCGTGGGAGATGGAGCGAGAGGGGTCGCGCGCACCAAAAGAGAGACGGAATAAGAGAATTCAAAAAAAAAAAAAGGATAAAGAACGAAGGTGAGAGGGAGAGATGACCAGAGAGAGCAGAAGACAGAGAGCCCGGATAGATAGACGTATATATGCATGAAGGCAGGAAGAACTGGAAAGGCAGGGTGAGTTATACGCAATTGGTCAGCCTGCACATTTTTTATCGGACGCCGAGCGAACCCGCGATGGGGAAATGGTAGTTACTCTTGTATTGACGAACAACGCCAACAACGCCGCGGCAATATTCTTCCAAAGAGATGCGCGCTTTTTCGAGAGAGAATGCCATCTTCAATTCAATATTTCCGCTCGAAGGATTCTTATCTTAGAGACGATGTGATTCGTAATAACTTTTGAGCGCGGCTTGATTCTCTTCTAGGATAACGCAAAAGTTATTGCCATCTGATTTTTTGTGTTCGGGCACAATTTTAATACAGAACAGTTGATAAAAATCAAAGAATATCTAATAACTTTAGTCTATTAACTTTGGTTACGAATAAATAAAATGAAAATAAAAATTTTTCTTCTCTTTTCTTAGATCTGGTTTCATGATTCGCGGTCAACTCTTTAACCGAAAGGTTCAGCTTACCCTTCATCTCTTTGACAAAGAGTAAGTTGAACCTCGGTTAAAGAGTTAACCGCGAATTGTGAAACTGGGGCCTTATAATCTCTTACGACAAGTTTTTAATTAAAAGCTCCCGCGCAGTTTAATGTGAACTAATGATGTGATATTAAAATATCAAAACAAATAAAACTAATTTGTTACCTTATTTCCTTGAGATTTCGTGGTTAATTCTAATTTTCTCAGCTATCCCAAGACTCGGTAATGACCCATTTCGTGATCGCGTGCGCGTAATATATCCGCGACATATTACCGTGGATCGCGACTTAATCGAGCGGGGCAACGAGCAGGCGGTCGTCGCACCGAAGGACGTGCCTTTCAATTAAGCGATAAGCGTTATCGGACAGATATACCAGCAGTCGAATGTATGTACGTATGTACGTACGACTCGATGGGATGAATAGAGCGAGAACGTAACGCGCGACCAGTCGCGTCGCGATGAGTTTTTAGCTCTTCTGTCTCGTCCTCGCCGTCGCTCTGATTCGCCCAGTTTATTCCACCCTTTCTCTTTCGCGCTTTTCTTTTGCGTAGTCGCGGCCGCTTTTTGCGAGCCGCCCATTTTTCTCTATCGCTGCAAATCTCGTTTTCCGGAGAAACTCGTATATGATGAAATTCGATGGAACGCAAGAATCTAATAGGACGACTGATAAAAAAGCTTTATCACATATTAACGAACGATATCGTATTAATTCGAAAATTTGAAAAGGTATAATTTTGATTAAATATTTTCTACTTTTAAGTGATTCATAAATCTTTCCAAGTCACTCTCTCACGGCAACGAAGAATTTATTTTTATTTTTACTATTTAACATCATGTTGTACATCGACATCAATTGAAAGTTTAAATTACTGACTGTAAAACTCCTCCAGAGAACAATATGTTCAAAATGTGAACATAAGATGTTCTCAAGATATCATTAAGATGTCTTTTAAACATCATATAATAAAGATGTCTTTGAGACTTACGTGAATCCGATGTATCTTGATTTTCGTTATTAGTACTTTTAATGTATCTAAATTTTTGTGTGTCGTTACATATTAATTTATTGCATTAATTTATAGCTGAAGATGACTAAATAAATCTTGTATATTTAAGATGCTGGCGTGACGGCTAAACTTCAACAGGATTGTTATTTTAAATGCGACACATCACTATATACTACTGTATCAATGTTCACAATTTGTCATATACTAAAATATTTTTGTTTAGATTTCTAAACTTAATTCAACTGGTAATTCACATGTATGTTTCTTTATTTTATATCTAGCTCTGCATTTATTTCGATTATACATAATCTGCATAACTTTTCCACGAAATAAATATTTTAATATATCGATAACATTAGTTGAATGAATAAAGTTGAGTGAATAAAAGTGAATAAAAAAATTTGTAATTTCTTGATTTTTCCTGCTTTAGAGACAAAATATATCAGAGCTAGATATATAATATTACTTTAATTGCGGTAAAAAAAATTTAATTTTATGAAGCTATAATATGAAATAATTAGTAATTAACAAAAATAATATTTTTGTCCAAGACGACGCCGGCATCTCCTTAATAATAAATTTTAGTAACTTAATTTTCGTTTGAAGGCGTTATTTTATTTTTATATTATTTAATATATATTATTATTTTATATATATTATTTAATACATTTTTAAATTGAATTTTTAGCTATTTTTTTCTACTAAATTTTTCCAAGATTCTTCATAATACGGTATTCATGTAGAGTGATGACGAGAAACTTCGATAGTGTCACCGCGGGAGTCAAAAGACGAATATTCCGACAAGCGATCAGTCGCAATCTATATCATCAATTAAATCGAACGCGCGCGCGCGAGCAAGCCAATGTTCGTGAGTGAGGCTGACCGAAGGGAGAAAACTCAAGACTGCTATTGGGGATGAGGAAGCAGATGAAGCGAGAGAAGTAATCGTACCTACAAGAACTGGGACATCGCCAACAAATTCGAGTTAGTCGAGTAGAGAGTGGTAAAGTGGTGGCTGCGGTAGGGTGGGTGAGAGGCAAATGTCGACTTCGAGCTGTGGCAGGAGATACGAGGGTCGCAGATGCGAGGGATGGCTAGCATTCTGGAAGCGACGAGCAGGGAGAAGCTTACAGGATAGAGAAGAACACAGGGTGGGCAAAATGCGACGGAAAATCAAAGGCAGAGAAAGGGAATGCAAGAGAGGAAGAGAATGCTGTGCGAGGAACGAGGGAGAGCGAAAAGGGTAAAAACGAAAGGGGTGGTGAAACAGGAAAAAGAGCGAGGCAGAGATACAGAAGGATCTAACCTTGTAAGGGAAGATTGTTTTCATTCGGGGGCTCAAATTGAAAAGGAACGAGAAAACCGCGATGCGAAAGCCTACTAAGTGGCTGGGATTGACTAAAGGGAATTTGATTTATTTATTTTTTTTTTTTTGCCGAGCGAGGCTGAATTTTGATTTGCTGATGCGACGTGCGACATCTCCGAAAGTAATAAACATACATTTTTGAGACGTCCATTAGTTGATAGCAAATGAAGAAACCGGAGAATGGAACATTAATGAGTAATAAAGCGTACTTCTAAATGATTATAACAAAATTTCAAAAATTTATCATTAATTTCTTTCAAGATATCACACTGATTTTGTACAAAATCATCGTCTAATATGCTTGGAAGATAGCAATTAATGTGAATAAGCTGGCAAAAGAGATTTAATCGCGCGTTCACGAGCGCATGGCATCGGCGCGATATTATCATGGTTAATTAGAGAGCCGCCAAGAACCGATAACTTTTCATTTCTCTTCCAATTAGCGTCAGAGAAGCGAGTTTGCTATGTTATATTATCTCCGCTGCAATTTGTGCAGTCGCGGTGTCCTGACTTGATTTTCCAGCGATCTCGAATAGTCTTACTTTTTCGATTTTTATTTTAACATCTGGCGTATATTATTATCCGACAAATTTACAAATTATAACAGGTCTCTCAGAAGTTTTATCGCATGACATCGGCGCGATATTATCACGTACAGTTAATTAAAGAGCCGATAACTTTTCATACGGGTCTTCAGAAGTTTTATCGTCATTGATGAGAGAAAAAAATGACGTATATCGAAGAATGTATTTTTAGATTCTTCAATATATACAATTTAGCAAGCTTACATTAGTCTACGTAAAAAGAAGGAATGAAGATTTATTTAATTACTTGATTACACTATCTTTCCAAGATAAGCCATTTAATCAAAAGCAAAACCCTTAGCTAATTGAATTCAAGATGACACGTAGACATTTGCAGTTTTCGTTATTAATAAATCAAGTTCGATGACCTTATTCTAATTTTAAAAGACACCTCTCGTAGTTCAAATCGCGAGATCTGCGAGAACCGTTTAAAATAGTTGTCTCTTTTTTCTTTTCTTTAAAAGACGTGATTTCTCGTGCATTATTCGCCGGAAACAATTCCGCGGTGATTCTAGCGCCGTGTTACGTCCTATAATATACTCGAGAGAGAACGTACTTTCCCCCGCGCCTCGGCCCATTAAGCGCCGCCTCGAGGTACGAGGGTGAGAAATGATCGGCCGCTAATGCTAATGAATATCAGCTCGTTGTACCGCTCGTGGGAGGGTTGTTTGGAGTTCGGAAGCCCCACTTTCGAGCATGACCGCGTAGCGAGGGGCTATACCATAGCCGCTTTTAAGAAAATTGCTGACAGAGGGGACTGCCCCGCCGCAGTTTCCCCTGATTAGTAGAAATTACACGATTTCCCGGCCTAAACGCGCACCCCTCATTTGCGACCGCGGTCGATTCCGACGATTCACTGACCCCGGGCTCAATTAACGAAGGGCTACTCGAATACTTACAATTAGCATCCGAGTTAAATGTGATCTTGATTAATTTCACGTTACGCGCTACTTAAAGATTACATTACTCGATCTTACGATCTAATTGTATGCGATGTTTGAAGAATACAATTACATTATTGGAATACATTCTATATATTCGAAGAGGGATCACTATCCCTTCTAAATGTTTTAGCTATCAATTTTCCATACAATACTAGTTTATCTAGTTTAATTTAGTTAATTTTTTTCAATATTATACTGGATGGTAATATTGGTCGTGATCTTAAATCTCTCGGTGAATCAAAAAAATAATTACTTGAAAAAGGAATGGAAAACTTACCTGTTTGTGCATTTCAACGTTGAGGCCGTATGACATCTCATAATACTGTAACAAAAACGACGTATCTTTCAGTTTGCATAAAATGTCTTTCAGATATGAAATACTTAAAAGAAATTGTCTTCGTGCGATTATTATCTTTATTTGTTACATATGTATTATTCCTACACTTTTACAAGAAATTCATTTATTATATTTTATTTAATCTGCTATAAAGTATCACATTTTGTTCTCTCCCTATGTTTAAAATAGTTAGAATAGATCATTTAGAGGATATTACTATAAGATACGCGTTGCATTTAACTTTTAAGGGTAGCATGGAAAAGAATGCAAAATTAATTCTATTAAATAATTAAGTTTCAACATTACATTTAAATAATATACTTTTGGGGAAGAAAATAAAAATATATATGTATCTTTTTCTAGAATAGAAACAGATTTTTCTTTTTTTCAGATTTTGGGAATTATAACTATTTTCCATTGCAGTATAGAGTTAATTTCTAAAATCTGCAAAAAGTATAAAAATATATACCTATATATTATTTTTATACTTACAGATTTTGGAAATTTGCAATGAAAAATAATTATAATTTTCAAAATCCGCAAAAAATTATATTTCATATTTGATCCCGATTCTAAGGAATGTCGCACGAACATTAAATAGACGTTTAATGGACGTTGATGGGTGTCGAAAAAACACAAATAATGAGCGCTGATAAAATCTGAAGAGATTCGAAACATGCCCAAAGTATATCCATTTTGTATCCCCAAGACGTTAAATGGGCGGTCATTTATGTATCCATTGGACGTCTTTCCATCCATGGAATATATTTCCCACACAACATATGGATATCCATTGGACATCCAAAGAATGTTCTGAATTTTTCGGATGAACGCCCATTTGATGTCCATTGGGCACTCATTTAATGTCAAACGGGCGGTCATTGGTACATTTATTGCATGCCCTTCGGGTATTCATAGGGACCTATTTGCGGTAATGAAATGGGCGCCCATCTGGAAAGTTCAGGACATCTTTTGGACAGTCAATCGACATCCATGTGTCGTGTGAAAATTTTACAATAATATCTCAAAATTCTGTATTTTCGTCTTATTTTCTGAACATGAATATCTGACGACAAAATATGATGACAAATACATAATAATTTTTCCAGCAAAATACTCACTTTGATAATAGCGCCGCAATACCTTTCTTTTTAAAAATTATTGATTATTGCAATTAAATAAACTATTATAAATGTAAAAAAGTATAAAATTTGAAAAATTAAAAATTGATCTTTTTAATAACACATTTCAAAGTCATGATTTAATTTTGGGAAAATGAAATTATATATATTTATATCTGAGGTGCAAATCTCATAAGGAATTAATGTCAAACTAACTTTAGTTGATAAAAATAAAACAAAAGAATGCTATTTGATAAAAATCAAATTAAAAAAATGGAATTTTTTTTATACATTTTAGTTGAACGTAAGGTAAATGTCCCAAATAACCGAACTTAACCCTGTGGCGTAGGATACGCAATAAACCGTTTTTATAATTTTTGATGAAAATAAGATATTATTAAAAATCAATTTGAATCAATTGTCCTTTGTATCATTAAATATCAATTTAAAAATAAATTTGCTATGAGGTCTGTTTGTACGTTTGCCTACATGAGTTTGCACTGCTTGTGTGCCTGCCTACATATGTATATTGGTATGTATAAATGCGTGTGTGTGTGTGGGGGGGGGGAAGGGAGGAGGGAGGAGTATCATACTATATTTAAACTATTATTAAACGACGATTTAAATACAAGAGACATATAATATAATATGGAAAATCATTGCGTTTCAAAGTTCACAATCATAGAACCATACATATTCGCATCAGATTGACGACTGCTAAAATGATTTGTATGCATTTGTATGCATACGAGCACGATCATAAATTAGCCAGCTGTAATACGACTATCAAACAATTTCAGAAATACATTATTCGCAGAGTGAGCCTTATAAAATTACAATCTTGAGATTAAATGTAAATAAAGAAGAAAAGTTACGTTTGTAATACTGGAAAGAAGTCTTATTGCATTAATTGAAATTCTTGTAGATTCAACTAGAAAGGTACAAATCAGATACTTGTAGTTAAATCTAAAATAAATCAAACATAGTCAAGATAACTAGATATTCAAATACGATATTCAGAATTTTGATTCATATGATCGGAATTCATTTTGTTTGTACTTATTGGTACAACCAGAATATTTTTTCATAATTATTGTCTTCTCAATTTCATGATTATATTCGACACTTGCTTTCTATACTCTCCTTTAAAGAGATACAATTTTAATGATACAAGCTGAAGGTGGCATTTTTCCTAACTTAAAATAGAGCATACGTTGAAGTGCGGAATTCTCAAGACGTATCGAATCGCTCGGAGCGATCGATGGATCGGCCGGCGCGATCTTCTCACGCCGTCGGCATTCTCGTGGGCGAATTTCTGCGGACGAGGGCGAGACCAAAAGGGGCCCGCAATAGTAGTAGCCATTCGATTCAGCGTGTACATGCGTCTCAGTAAACTGCATCCGAACGTAGGATGCAGTTCGGTAGATGCGCTTGCGCGATCGTAAATTGGCTAGTGGCTGTCGCTTAGCGCCGCGCGCGTGTCCGCCTTTAGTCGCTCTCGTTCGGAAACGAATGGCTTCGGGGGAGGCGGTTTGCCGAGAGAAAGATAGACGTAGAGAGATAGAAAGACAGACAGAGGGAGAGAGAGAGAGAGAGAGAATGGGAGAGGCAGAGGGAGGCAAAGTGCAATACACACGTCAGGCCAGGCTGGGAGATACTCAGGCTCAGAGATCGATAACATCGGCTACGGAAATATACCGACTTAATAATGCAGTCGATAACTACGCCTGGCGAACTTGGAGCAAGGCACGCGCGGAGCCTTCCTCCTTTGCCCAACGATCCCGGCGCGCTTTGTCCTACGGCGGTGCACGTTGATTCAACTTGGCGATCGTATCGCGCGACACAAGCGCAGAGACTCGATAATACATTTCCTCGGAGCTCTCCTCGTAGCCCACAAAAAAGTGCGCGTCGTGATTACTGCCACGCTAAGAGCGATCATAATTTATCTGTCGGACTATAGCATGTACAATAAGAGCCTTCCCTATTGTTCACTCTCCATTTTTCTATTCTTTATCATATATTTATCTTCTCGTGCACTACCTTTTCATTCTCTGATCCCTGCTCTTGACTTTTGCGTGACCATGCGTAAGGTAAGAAAGTTCGCTTTGCAACCAGTCACACGATTTGTCAGCGTTTGCTCGCATCGCGTGTGCTTTGCGCGATTGTGAAGTTCGACTCGGATGGCCGGAGGCAAGATATCGACGTAAGTCGGTAATCAAATAACGAGAAAACTCCCAACGATGGCACAAAGAGAGAGAGAGAGAGAGAGAGAGAGAGAGAGAGAGAGTGTGTGTGTGTGTGTGTGTGTGTGTGTGTGTGTGTGTGTGTGTGTGTGTGTGCGTGCGTGCGTGTGTATGTTCTGTAGATATCGATCTCATCTGTCCGTCTCTCATTTTCTATTTTCACATGCCTGGGAACCCAATAATAGGAGTTGTACCGATAATTTCGCCCCCTCCGATTACTCGATATGGATCTTTTAGTAGCGAGCCTTTGATAGGATGATTGGACGACCTCATTTGTCGCTCTCTCGACATTTTCCCTCGTTTCATCCTTTTTCCTCTTCTTTCCTTCTCTTTCCTCTCTTTCTCTCTTTCTCTCTCTCTCTCTCTCTCTCTCCTCCCTCTCTTTATACTCTTTCTAGTTGTACTTCGATTCAAACTCTCGCCTCTCCCTATTTCCATTTTCCTTTTTCGCTCGCACTCTCTTGACTCTCACCTCGCGAAAATTTACACGCTGCGCCTGCGGATAATTAACAGATAATTAATAAATCGCTGTAATCATGAAAACCAATGTATTCGTGAATCGCAAAGTGAAACTTTCTCTGCCAACTATATTCATTTTATATTTTTTGAAAAAATTTCCTATAAATGGTTAAGGAAGACAACTATCACAATGCAATCAAAATCTTCCTCAATTTTCGATTACAATTTAATAAGTTGTGATAAAATCTTTTTTTAATAATATAAATTTATATTTGGCATATGTGAAATAGTGTATTAATCTATTCAAATATTAATAAGAGATACTATTGATATAAAATATGACGTGTAGAAGTGACATTTTAACTAAAACGCTTTGTGTAAAGATATTTTCTACGCGTAAAGGAACAAAATATTGTTGACCGAAACCCCGTGACAGTCGAAGCGTGACGGGGCAAAATTTTGCTAGTGTTGATGAAAAAAAATTTTTTTCGAGAGAAGGACAACGTAGCGCAAGAGGATAGAAATGCAATCTGCCAGGTATAGCCGCGCGCGCGCGAATATAGTCGAGGGGTGGAAAGCAAACGGCGAACCGTGGAAACAGGAGGAAAACAAAGAGTAATCGAGAAGCGTGCCCCAGGGATGTGGGTTACGTTTAATTTGTTGCAGCGCGAAAAAACGCGGCGGAGAAAAAACATAGATAATTGGAAAGTCTTCTCGTTCGCGGGCAGGTCGGAGATGCGCAACGACCTCGGGCCCGTTTTCGATAAGGTTTTTTTCGTTCTATTCCCCGTTTTTTTTTGTCCCTCATCCATACCATCGAATTTTCTTTCTCTTTTTCCAGCGCTCGCTCGATCATTACATTCGCGTATCGGAAATCAAATTAATTTTCTGACGGCCTGGGGATTCGAAACTTTCCGCTTATATCTCCGACTGTTTTTGACGATACGTAACGGCCTCTGCCTATTCTTGCCGTCAAAATGTAGGAATTAGGAAACGACGCTATTCATCGAGGGGATCATTTTGAAACTACGTTCCAAAGAATTAATTCTCCGACGATGCACTGCAATTTATCACGATAAAAATATGAAAACTCCTGCGAGCAATCGGACGGAAGATGATTATCAATTCGAGGAAAGATTTGTATAATAATTGGAGCATGTCAGATTTTGCGAGATTATTTTCGTCGCGATCGAAGAGACACTTTATACAATGACCTAAAATTTTTCCTCGTTTTTCTGGTCTTTACGAATAAATAAAGGATAAGTTTCGCAGCATGTAAATTAGAGCGACAAACAAACATGTTATGAAAGATGAAGCGAAGAGAAAATAATGTATCACGAGAAAAAGTTGAGTTGATCCCGTCTCTTTGCTATGTACTTTTCAGTATAAAATGTCATTTTCCGAAAACACATTTTCAAATCTGCAGAATAAAAAGATAAATCGTGAGTAGAGGAAGATCAAATGGCAAATAGAGATGAAGATAAAATTTTTGTAAATCTACAATGCGCGATTTCAATTCAAAAATATTCTACGTCTTTTAATAAGATATATTTGTAAACTAAATTCATATGATTTAACTGAATGTCTATTAAACATCTATTCCCTAAAAGTGAATCAGTGTATTATTGTTGAAAAACAGTAAATGTTCGCCTACGATTACATCAGTTATAGGGTATATAGCATTGAAATCACTGATTCACTTTTATAAAATACAAATAAATCAAATACAAGTATATATCAAATCCCTGGAAACGTGACATGATTGGCGGTATCTCGAGGAGAGAAGAGAAAGATATCGTAATGACATAGAAAGGCGATGATCCGTAAGACGGGGCGGACAAAAGAGTGAAGAGAACGAGTGGGTGGAGTGGGGCCGGTCGGAATGGAAGGAGGGAAAAATTGAAGCAGCGCGCGGATTTACGCGGCGCGTTACCCTAATGAAAATCGCGAAGGATGAAGTTGCGCGCGCGTGGCAGTGGTGGCGGTGGTGGCGACGGCGGGAAGAGATGGTAGGAGGAGAGGCGGTCGGAATACATGAGGGTGGAATTAGAATATCAGAGACACGGCTGGCGTAGCGTGGTGTACGTATAACTCTGTGTGCTCTGTGTGCCATGCCGGCGCACACCAACGTTCCGCGCCCTCGTCCGCGCGCGTCTCCGGCTTGCACGTATATAATACTTGTCAGTGGTTGACAAACCCTCGACATCAATTTCTCTCTCTGTCTCTGTAATTCGCTCCCTCTTTCTCTCTCGTCTATCTCTACCTCGTTCCCTTTTCCCTCGAAACGAGTCTTGCTTCTCTCTTCCTCGCTACTTCTATCACTCCACCCCCTTCCCCACCCTCCCCCTTGCCACGGCCTCGTCCAACTGCTCCTCCTGTTGCCACCCCCTTCTCTATCTCTCTCTTCGTTTACTTTGGAGATATCGATTACCGGCTCAACTCCCAACCCCCATCAACCCCTCTGTCACCTCCGACCCCCCTTATCCACTCCCTCTAGCACCCCCGACTCCCTTCCACTCGGCCCAGCTTGCTGCTTGGTTGCTTGCACGGTGTCACATCGGTGTAGCAGTTTACAGAGACAGTATAGTTCGCGACAATTACGATCGGCCGTACAGCAGACAGTGGTGTAGGACCTCGGAATTCAAGGATGCCGGGCGTTACGGTGAGGACATCGATCTGCCGAACGCGGTTCATTTTTCGGAGTAGTTCTTAAAGTCGCGTGTTTTAACCGTGTAAATGGAGCTCACGTAAAACGAGCGCAATTTTCGCATGCAAAACACCATCGGCTTTTCGCGTTCGCGTGAATTTGGATTTGCATTTCTTAGGAATGCATTAAGCGCGCAAATCCTAGCTACCTGTATTGAAGCACTCCGTTTGAACTTATCTCGAGAATTAACGGATTGAAATGGAACGTTTCAAAAATTACAACCGTGCATTTCCGCAATTACTTTACGTTAAGATCAAAAAACCGATAATTAAATATTCTGTCAAGTATAAAACGGAAAAAGATATACGAAAATATTAACTAAAAATAGATTAATGATTACTGGAGAGAATATTCTTTACAAAATTTCTTAGTAATTTTGACACAATTCAAAATTTACACTTGGACATCTTTATGTCCAATCGTGATAACGCAGACAATGATTAATTTTAAACTTATTGAAATTATATCGGTTACAATTATATCGATTGCAATCTCTATAGAGGACTATACAATTCTGAAAAGCAACTGAGTAAACATATGCAATGTGCCTTTAGCTCCGCTGAAATTTGCGTCTATTGAGCATAACAGGGTTATTGACCCACCAATCCGCGTTGTTCGCTTTCGTATCTCGAAAGCGGTTTACAGAAACATGTAAGCCCCGGTACCTGCGAGAGCGTATTCTCGTGCAATGCTGATTTTGTATCGGGACAAAAGATTTTGTCCCGATCCTACTTGATTTTTATTTTCAGTCGAGCCACCGTGTCTCTCGCAAGTTTGATTTGCGAAAGACGAGAAACGCTTTATATGCAGCACTCGGAAATATTTTCATACTAACGTGAAGTCTCGAGTGAAGTCTACGATAGTTTCGCAATTGGGGTTTAAGAAAAAGTTACATATTAGAACTTATTTTACATTTTATGCGTAGTACTTGAAATGTTTTATACGCGAATTCTAAGAAAGCGCTTGGCCGCGATCCGGTGCATGACTTTTTGCAGCAGATATTCACGATGAAACGGGCGAGCCAATATTTCATTCAGAGCAGAGCATTCAATTTCCGGTATCAACACGTCGTCTCTGTTTATTGCCTTTGAAACGAAGACAGGGACCATATTTTTCAATACTAGCCGTAATCCAATTTAATATAATTAGCATTATTCAAAATGTCAAATATCGACATTATCTTAAAAATTATATTTCAAATATATATATATTCACAAATATATATATATTTGAAATATAATTTA